CTAAAGTAATGCAGGTTTGAAAACGCCGCCCCAGGGGCATACAGGCTATTTTAAGAGTCACTGTTAAAGTTTCAAAAAGTAGTAGTCAATCTGTTTCAAGATCTATGATAAAGGGTTAAAGCTTGTTTTCAAAAGCATACACGGATTGTTGAAGGGATTACACTGTATTTCCATTGCCTTGCAATTTAACGTTGAGCTAGTTCAGATGTTCGGTCATATCCACGAGATATTAAAACATGTGGGGCCACTCCGTTTCGGCTAGCTCACGATGCTTAATGCCGTTCATTTCAAGGAACGTCCGGATTTCGTTCAGGCAAGCTGCAAAACGGCTAAGCACCTTCCCGTCTGACAAACAACATACCTTGCTGTGCAAAATCAGACCATGATAGTTATTACCAACTTCATCCAGCAGGGTTTTAAACTGTCCATCATTTAAGGCTCGAGCAACAATAAAGTTAATCACACGGATAACCAGCGACATCACTTCACCAAGCTGCCCGTCGCATATCTGAACATAAAGAGCTTCCTGGTGTAGAATGCAATGGAAACGTAGGACGGGTCTATTTTCATATTCACAGAGAAGCGCCACAAATCCTTTGTTGTTCCCCACCATACACGGAGCACCATCAGTACACACTGAGATAAGTTTATCCATAGGTAGTTTTTTTTTTTCTTGAGCGAAATCCATGAAAGACTTGAATAAATCTTCCCCATTTGTGGACTCTGTTATTGGCAGAACCGCAAGACTTTCTTCGTGCAGCGCATCACCAGCAGCATATCTTGCAATCGCACTGAACTGCGCCAAATGGCTTACGTCTGTTGTCTCATCCAAAGTCAGGGAAAAGAACGGCGCCGCCTTTATGTCTTTCACTTGCGTTTCCTCCACGGGGATTGCCATCATGATGGTACGCTAATAAGCAGTTTTTTGCCGACAAGGGCACGTCTTGTATCCGTTTAATTATCTTGTCGTTTTCCGGAAGATCATCAAAAAGTTTATCAGCTACATCCAGCATGAACGTTTTAGCAGACTCGCCTTCTGTGAATAGATTTCCGTTCCTAACTATTGCTAAAGATCCAGCAAAGCTCGCGGAGTTATAGTCACCTTGCTTGGTCCATTCGCGGAGTTGGTCCTGGCTGGTTTGCATCCTACTCATTAGCCTTTGGCATGCTTTCTTTCGGCTATCTCCCGCAGGTTTTTTTAATGCATACGTATAATGGCGTGTGTTGAAGTGGCGCTTTATATTCGACCGTTTCATCGAAGAAATCTTGTCATTGCAAATTAAACACACCGCATAATCTCCTCTCTGCATAAAGGCGAATTTTTCGGCCCATTCGTACTGAAATGTACCATACTCCTCTTCGCTTTTTCGTTTCACCATACTCTTTGTCGCAGAGATTAAGTTGGGGTAAATGAGAGAGTGTGTGTAGCGTTCGAAGGTGTGCGATTCGTCTGATGAACGAAAACAGTCAGATTTTAGGAAAGATGTAGTAGTCCACAAGGCAACTGTTCGCGAATGGACTGTTTTTTCCGTCTGGGGGACATAAACTCGAGGCACTATATGTAACAAAGCTGGCTGGCCTATGCGCGTGAGATAGCCTAGTCTGCCAGCGTGACGTTGACACAGCTGAGGTCAAGTCTGCGGACTGCCGTGCCTAACTAGAGCATTTGTTATTTAGTGTGCCTGTCGCTGCTGTTGGGACGCAGGAAATAACGGAACCAATTGTTGTCAGCAAGCCGGAAAGGGACCAGCCAGATCGAACCTAGGGGTGCCGAAACTCCATAGATTGGTCAAGATTAAACTGATTCTCATACGCGTCTCGGCGGAGGCACGTCATTAGAGGTGGAAGGCTACAATGCGTGCCCTCCCCCCCCCTCTCTTCTCCAAGACTCGCTGTCCCAGAGTCGTGTGTTGCCACAAACGACCGTTCCAATGGCTTGACCTCGCAGCTGCGTCTGGGTAACCGGTAACAGCTGCGCTAGTGTCCCCATTCCTTCGGTTTTCTAGCGGCCCCGAAACCGCCGCCCTGGCGACCGCAGTTTATCCAGTCACGCACACACACCCGAG